CTGCTGACATGTCCAACGCTTGCAAATATCCAGATAAATCAAATTCTGAGGGGCTCAGTAATCTGCACACAGAGGAACTGCACCTCACTCACCCACCCAAGCAAAAAAATATGAGAAACCAGTAATCTTACTGGAGCTGAATCTAATTCAGCTCAATGAACCCTATCGGTATATCCTACCTTCTTTTTTCTGCACTGTTTCAATTAATTCCTCCCTAAAAGAAATACAGTAGAACCTCATTGTATCAAACCCTGTTTGGAACAAACCCCTCCTTTTAATAATCCCAGCAGGAGGAACCAATTGTTGCAGTTTTGATGATGCCGTGAATAGATTAACCCTGTTATAGCAAGCACCCTCTGTTAATGAACTTTCTCCTGGTTCCATGGGGGATTATTATAATAGGATTGTAGTGCATTTCACTCAGAAAATGTAAAGACTGACATTGGGATTCACAGTCACACTCATAAGAGTCAGTTATATAAATATTCTTGGCCTGTGCATTATATTGATACTCTATACACCCACAATCTTGATCAAGCAATCTTAATAATCCATTCACAATTTTATAGAGGTTAAATCAACCTTAGGTTGAAACTAGTAACAGTGGAGGAAGCTATAGTAGAAACTGTACAGCTGTAGATGTTAATGAACATCAGCTTCTTTTCACTGCAAACCAAAAAAAAAAATCTGTCTTGCACACAAAAGCATGATTACAAGAATAATGCCTAAGGCAAGCCCCTGAGATGGAGGCAACTTGACAGAAATTCAGTGCTGAGAAACTAGGTTGATGCAATATTAAGGAAAGGTTTCAGAGGTATAAAGATCAGAACATCCCAAAGTTAATGAGTGTGAGTCTGAATCACCTCACAGTAAATTTACACTGGTGTGACACTGCTATTTCTTTTTCTAATCAGCATTAGGCCCACAGCTGTTCCAATAACAGTATTTAAATAAAAGGAGCAGACTTCCACGCTGCTTTAGTTTACGTTGGCTACTAAGAGCCTAAACAGCCAACACGGCAGCTGGGAATTTGCTACAGCAAATACAGGTTTCTTGGCCCTGACTCTATCTTGTGAGCAGAGATGGGTAAATGGCCACTAGAGTCTATACCAGAGGATCCCTTTTTGTATACCTAGAGTTATATCAGTTATATAGTTACCTTCAACCAACAAAGTCATGCAGAATAGGTGTTTCAGCTTGCTGACATAAATCGGATACTCCAAATGCATTTACCTTTGAGCTGAGATACAGTGTGGAATATAGCAGTCCTGGGGTGCTTGAATGTAAGTTGTAATAACTGAAAAGAGGGTTTCCAATTAAATATCCATCCCAGCTTTTTGGCTGCAATGTTACTATTCTTACTATTCAAATGCATTCCTTATGACATGGTAAAAACAGCAGGCTGACCCTCACCCTATCTCCAGCTGCCTGAGGCACTTTCTGTTTGTCAAGAGTTGTATCGGGATTTTCAAATTCCTCAGTGGAAGCTAACTTAAAAATTTGTCTTGAGAAACCAATAGTGCCAGAAGCACATCTGGTGACATCATTATTGGTGTTGCTATAGTTCATGGCCTTTTCCATGACTGCCACTCTCATCAGCCTGCAATTGGCCTCCATAGTTTGTGCTAAAGGTTATCGCTCTCAGTGGTGGTGTGTGGCAACTGACTAATGAGAATCCAGCAGCCCTCAACAACCACAGATTCATCTTTGAGCATGTCATCAGGCCAGTTTGCAATCTGCTGTTTTCAGGAAGATTTGAAGTGGGCTGAGCCCAGGGGTTTGCTTTAAATACAGCCAGATCGCCCTTTGGGTGGAAACTGCATACTCTTCTTTTGCTTCCTGACACACGTGCTTTATGTAAGGTACTGGCTCAACCATGCTGAGAAAGAGGTTGATCTTTTCCACACTGTTGGCTATGATTCTGGTCAATCTGATAAAAGTGCAAGGTAAGTCAAACCCACTGAGGCAACACAGATGCAGGAAGCTTGTTTTGCAAGTGGAATCAAACCCAGGTGTAATTCTGTTCACTTCAATAGAGTGGATTGGTATTCAGGGATTGGCTATGCCCAGGATCTTTCTTTCTCTAGTTGTCATGGTTATTTTCCATGAGAAAACTTGTACCTGGAATCACTGGACACAATTTTCAAATTTGGTAGCTTACAAGTAGGAAATTAAATCCATGTGCCGGTACCACAGTAAGTAACCCAGTCCTTCTCTTATTTTTTTTTTCCTCAGAGGCATTTGTTACCCCTCTATCTACAGGATCAAGCATAGAAGCACAGAGCATGGGACCAGCCACGGAGCCCAGCATGGGGCCAGCCATGGAGCCCAGCATGGGGCCAGCCACAGGGCCAGCCACGGGGCCCAGCTCGGAGCCAAGCTCCACGTCAAGTGTGGAACCAAGCACTGAGCCCAACCACAAAGAAAATGAAGAGCTCAGTGGAGATCCCTGCATTGAAGAAAGTAAGGAGTCCAGTGGAGAACCCGGCCCAGATCCAATTACAGAGTCGACCAGAAACCCAAGTGTAGAACCAAGTACGGAGCCAAACACGGAACTACCCTGTAAGTGAATTCCTCCTTTTGTTTCCCCTGTGCTGTTATTCCCCACTTTCTTTCCTTTTTTACCTGTAAGTCCTCATGTCTTGCCCATGGAAGAACAATATATACCCAGAGCACTTCTCCATCCCCCTAACCTGAATACTTGTATTGGACAGGACCATCAGATGTCAAGCAACCCCTCCACCAATTCACCAGCTAGGTATTAGCAGGAAGGCTAACCTCCCCCCATTTTCTTGTCTAAGCTGAAGTCTGTCTACTTCCAGCTAAATGTGAGCAACAGTGAAACTCCCATGCCCAGTAGAGCTGCTTCTGTAGTGGATTAAGTTGCTATAGTAGAAGGCTGGTCCAGATTATTGCATTTACAGAGATTCTTGAGCGGTGCTGTTACAGAGGACAGCACAGATTCTGCTGAATTGTCCAGAGAACCTCAGCTGCGAGGCTCGAATCATCCTCTGTGCAGAGAAAACCCTGTGCGAGAAACTGAAAATTCTGTGAATTAGAGTTCACAATTTCCCTGATTATTATTCCCTTAGACAGGTGGGATCTGGCCCCCACTTTTACAGACAGACAGGCACATCATATCCTTTTGTTTCACTGGAGCTGAATTGCCAAAGGAGGATGCTGCCAATATCATAATGCAAGCCAAAATCTCTATAAATCCCCAACTCATGGGGGAAGGAAATACCTAGCCTGCTTGGACCAACATATTCAAATCCCAGCCCAGTCAACTCTATCTATCATCCTGCTAGGATGGAATAATTGATTACCAGTCTTTTGCGGGAGGAGGGATCAACTAGGATTGCATAATTCAGTTATTCTTAACCCAGGTACCGTGGCAAGATCTTTTCAAGGGTACCATGGGATGATATGCAATATCAGTACTGTTAGATGTTCAAACACCTACTTGAGTCGCAAGATAAACAAAGAGATTTCAGATTGTGTCAAAAATATGCTGACCCGTTATGGTCTTCCTGAGTTCTTTGTAACAGAAGAATTGCTCCATTATTTTTGTGTAGTCAAGAAACAAGTGAGCGCCAAGAGTTGTCACTTCCCAAGGGATACCATGAGTCTAATGAGGGGCGTCTGGGAGTCTAAAAAAGTTGAGAAACACAGCCTTAAGTACATAATGTGGCCTTGTGCATACTGGAAACCCCACAGGACTTCATAAATGCAAGTATTTTCACTTGGTCAAATGACAAATGAAATCTCTCCCTCATTCAAGAAATGGCCCCATTTCTACAGTGCTGTTCATAGAACTGGAAACTATGTTAAGAGGAACCAGGCTACAAACTGCAACAGTCTCATAGTGAAGGGTATGGGCTCAATCTTCAGCTCCTGCCATTCAGTGGAATATTTTCTCATTCAACCTTTTGTTTTTACTTCTAGAATAACCTCATCAGCAGAGTATAACCATCCCTTCCCGACAACTTCAGCTTCCTGGAAGAAAAATTCTAGATGATGGCATGTCAAAGCTAAATTCAATATACTTGTAGAAGCTACAGCTCATAGAAAGTTAGCCACACCTGTTTGGGTTTCAACACAATCACTTAATCCCTTCCCATGTATTCTGTTATAATTTTATTTAATTCTGACTGGTTAGACAAATGAGGGCTGATGTGTAGCATTTGTACTGCAACACTTCCCTTCCCTTGCAAGTTCATCATTCCCTGCTGGTAGTCTTGTTCTCCTTGCATAACAGTAATAAACACATACTTACATGCATAAAAATGTCATTAGGGTAGCGTGTCTTGTTATTGTCAAAACTTCTATCCAATCATTTGCTAAAACTAGTTAGGTTTTTTTCTAACTTTCCACACAAAGTGACTCCAAGTACTATTTATTGTTAATCTATGAACAAGCCCATGCGCTGAGCTGGAAGGAGAGGGTGGGTGGGTGGATATGGGTATGTGTGAATACCTTCACATAAGCCCCAGCAGTGACCCTAGAGCCACACTTCCTATTCTCATACTCAGTTCTGGAGAGTTCAAGCTCCCTCCATTCCTGAACATGACATTCTGATACAGGAATGTTGGCCTGGAAACTGCAGTACAGTAGCTAAAAGCTACTTACAGAACAAACAGTGACACAGGAGTTTCCCACATTGTCTTTCCATGGTGACCAACAATAGTATGAAATGTTGACTCCTTTTTTTAACCTCTTTACCTACAAGAATGCCAATTATTGCCAAGCACAGACATGCTATGCAGAAATACCTTTTGTTTTCTTATTCAGAATTCCAAACCAAGTAGTGAGCAAACATCAGAAATAATATCTCCTGAAGTACAGGTTAAAAAAAAACCCCAAACAACAGGCAGGTAGAGGGAAGGGAAAATTACTTCTGAGTGAGACTTCAGATGGGTTATTAAAAACAGGAAGATGAGTAAATATGCGTAAGACCCAGCCCTGACAGCATCCAATTTAACATTTTAGGTAAATCTGCAAACTTAAAATGATTTCTTAATAAGCCAGCACAGGAGTAAGCTCAGTGCTGTCTAGAACAGAGATGACTCCAGGTCCTTACAATCACATGCAATAAAACAATGCACACAGAAAGGACAACCTGAAGAACAAAATGTTCCACAATGCTCTGTTGAATCTTGGTTTAAGAATAACCACTTCCTAGATGAACAGATGACAGGTTTCGCATATAAGGTGCATTTGCAGTGAAGCAACAAAGAGTTTTCACTGTCCTCACATCCTCCAACTGCTTATGACAGGTCAGACAGAACAGCCCCATATGCTCAGAGGTGACTAGGAGCCAGAAGCCCTGGCTAGTAGTACCAGGTATGTAACCCTCATTTAATTTCAATCTTCCAGTCCCTCATCTGTAAAAGTCATAGTGCTACTACTTCCCTACCCCAGCCCAGCTATTCTGAGCCTTTAATACATGTGAATCACTGAAATCCTTCACTAGAAGGTAATTCAGAAGCACGGATTATTACAATAACAACATTTTTTTAGCCCCAACCCATTTTATGTCGAACTATACTTTGTAATATACTTTCAACCAATGAAAAATGCATTTTTGTTTTGCCAAACTAGAAAACTGCTGAAAGGGAAATGGGCCTAAAGTCTTGCGTCAATTTGTTTATGGCAGCAAATCAATGTGAAGACATATGAAGTAATAAAAAGGACTCAAAGTTGCTTGAATGTCTTGGGGGCATACAGAGCATTTCAAGAGCTCCCTCACATTTTCTTCATCTATTGCATGCATGATGGATGGAAACATGAGTGCAGGCAGCGGATGTGGATGTCATTCAAACACCAAACAACTGTATTAAAAAAAATACTTGAACTTGAAATGGCTTAAACCCTCACATGATGATGCATCAGGACTCCAAAACTTACATACTGTTGCAGTTCATCTGGCATGAATTTTGCACGAGTACAGACCAGAACAGGTTACCCTCCACTGAGTGGGGTGAATGTCACCCCTAAATGTTTCAGAGTGAGTAATCAGGGGAAGGTGGAGAGTGGGGGAAAACAGCATTTTGAACACACAGCCAGCAGGTAAGTTACAGAGACGTTCAATACAGGCAAGTTTTTCTAGGAGGCACACTTGAATCAACAGGCAAAGAAATGCTGTCCCCTTGTAATCTATCCTATTAATGTAAGCTTTATGGTGATAATTTTAAACGCCCGTTAAAGCTTCAGCTTGAAACTGGTCTTTCAAAAGATGATGAGAATGTTGCAAGGCAAAAAGACAATTACACACTCAAGTACACAATGCTTTAAACTGAATATTTTAATAAGGTAGAACACAGTTAACATTCTTCATTGAAATGCCATTATCCTAGTGAATAAATTAGACCTATTGAATTGAAAACAAAAATTACATTTATAGAGGATACAAGTCCTTTAAGGAACTGTATTTCTCAAGCAATTACAGTTAATATTCTGACTGATGCACATGAAAAAAAAGTGTATTGTTTTAACAGTTCTACTTCATAGCTTCTTCCTGCAGCAGGTTTAATCAGCTATTGTAACAGAAAATACACCCACCAGCATAAATCATTTATCTTAAAGACCATAATTAATTAGGTGGCTTCGTCAAAGCCCACAACCTGCTGTACAATTCTTTGGTAAAGGTGTGGCAACAGACTCCTTGCTTTCTGTCAGTGCTCTTGGCTGATGGATAAATACACTAAACTTGACTCCTTGATTAGCTGCTGCCCTAACAAAACCGCTGTTCGCGGTCACTGTGATGGCTTTTAAAGTGTCTCCTGTCCCAAAGATGGTTAGTGAGCGGCTATTGATTTTAGAACTAGCCACTAGTCTTAAGGCACGATCAGATGGCTGGTCTGGCACCACGTTAACTCTCCTAATTAGCAACATGGCTCGTTCTTTCTCCCCTGGTCCACCTAAAGTTTCCAAGATGGATTGAAAATCTTTGACTGCAGATTCACAAGCAAACAGCTCCTTTCCTTTCATGAAATCCTCCAGCTGAGGCAGGACTCCCTCTTTCCTTTCCTGTGCTGCCTGCTCTGTTAACACCTTCTCTCTAAAGATGAAATAGCAGCCACCATAGCTAAGCGCAGATACATAGGTAATTAAAGTGGTGATGTCCAAATTAACCCTATTGCACACATCTACTTTGATCGCTGTAGGAAAAGCAATGCTGGCTACTAAGTTCTCTCGATCTACACTGGTCACCTGCAGCAGCTCAGGGCTTTCTTCATCAGATTCACTGGCACTTAAGTGTCTGTTTTCATTTGAGGTTTCTACCAAAGAATTAACAGCAACTATGTCTCCCCGCACAGATATACCCATTTCTTTGAGCCTCTCTGCCATAGGACTGGACACACTGTTGTAAAAAGCAAAGATAATATGCGGGTTGCTGTACTGAACTGGTTGCTGGCGGCTGGCTTGCAGGAAATCCTCTGCCTGTTCAATAATGCTTTTGTCGCCATATTGGCCCCTGCCCAGCCAAATGTTGTGCAGAGCTTCAGCTTTTCGACCAATTGCTTTCACCCAGGTGTGACCGCCATTTGCAACAACATCTACCACCAGCATCTGCTTTTCACCAAACTTGTCTTCATAGGCAAAGACGTGGAGAATACTGACGACATCTTCCAGGTTCTCTGCCGACTCAATAATGGCTTGGAGGTGCGTGAGATTTGTGCTCTGTAGATGGGATTCCTTAATGGCCACCTTTCCTGCTTCTACCTTGAGCAAGAATTTTAATTCGGCCTTCAGTTTGCTGCAGAGCTTTGCTCCACCTTCTATACCTCCTTTGTATGACCTGGAAAGGGCTTCTGCTCTTTTTATTAATTCCTTAGCAACAGAGATTCTGTCACAAAGCAGCGAATGCAGAGACATGTTGGTAACATTATTCCTAGCAAAGGAAAGAAAGACAGGATAAATATTACTAGTTCAGTGATAAAGAGTTTTTTCCAATACTGTGTGTCAGAGTTTTTGCATTGGATTCCATGCAAGGACTACAACTATTCCCAAAACATGAACAATAGGAACTTGCCACAACAGCCAAGATTTAAAAAAAAATTTAGAAAGGCTTGAGCACCTGATTTGAAACACCTTGAAGGAGCCCAATTTTCAGTAAGGGAACACACAGAAAAGGCAAGCCTCTTCAAAGAGGGTTTCTTGTGATTCCATGTTCTTCCAGTTTGAATTCTTAACATCAATCACTTTTGAACAGGTGAGGGAAACCTCAGCCCTCCTTCTGAACTTACTCACACTTACTCAAACATATCTCGCTAAAAATAGGAACCCTGTTATGTTGCAAGAAAAAAAAAAACTCTATCTCCTTTTGCAAGACTTACATACCATAAGGCCCAAAGTCACCTTTTAAAATTGTTAGCATAGCATGGTAGGAGTTTTACAACACTTTCATAACAGGTCCCTATCTTTAGGAGTTTCCCAGTTACCTTGTAGAACTGTTTCCTACTGGTTAAATGCACGAGCCTGAAGACTGCTGCATGACTGACCTTTTATCCCAGGAAGTTCCAAACCCTAGGAAGCTGCACAGAATCTGGGTGGCCTGAGAACAAGCCGAGGGGATCCAGGAACTCCTTCACTCTAACCTGAGCCTGCTGCAGAGTCACTACTACAGAGTCACCACATGACATCAGGAAAGTCATTTCCCAGCTAATATTCTCTCAAACTGCCTACTTCACAACAGTGTGAAGTGGACTGGTTAGTCAATGTGGGTAGACTAAGGAAAGAGAAGTGCCCAATGCTATCCCAATTTTACCTACAGGAGCAACATATAGTATACGCACATATACACCTGCTGCTATGATTTTTAACTAAGTTAGTGCATACAAGGTCAAAAGAGCTGGTATTGGTGACAAAGATCTCAGACCACTGTGACCCAATCCAAGCATATAGGTGCGGTGCCAGGCCCCCAGGCATGAATCCCAGTGCACAGGGGCAGGAGGGGGGGCTGTGTCAGGCCCCAAGGCTCAATCCCAATACACAGGGCTCCATCCAGTCCACAGACCAGCCTAGCCCATTCATCTGGTCCACGGGGCCAAAATGTTCAGCAACTCTGTTTTAAATGGATGTCCTAGTGCAGGACTGTCCAACTTCAAAGCAGCTGAGGGCCACATCCCCCACGGACCATATACTATAGAAGCAGCACTAGCAGAGGTGCTCGGCCCCGGCTACTGATACCCCTCAGCCAGCACAATCCATGCACGTACAGTACACAGAAGGCACTCCCCCACATGGCACAGCAGCCCACCTCAACTTGGCACTGTGCCACACAAGCATCCTGAGCTACCTGGCACGGCAGCCTGCGCCACAGCATGAAGCCCCGTCTCCTTGGCTGGAGGCATACAGCTGAAGCAAGGGGAGGGAAGGGGAGCCCAAAGACCCCACTTGCTGCTGCAGCCAAAGTAATAAGGGCAGCGGCCACCAGATGAGAGTCCTGGGGCTGCATGTTAACCCCTCACAAGCCACCAATTGGATAACCCTGAGCTAGTACCAGTTTTGATCCCAGATTTGTTAAACCTTTGATCCTTCCTATGATGCATGTGAGACAAGACTTAAACCACTAGGATTTACTAATAGTTGCAATCTCTACCCAAAATCTTCCATTTCACTTTACCACATTAAGCTGTACCTGTTCCACCATCAAAGTCAACTAAATCTCTTCAGGCTCTTTACTATGTTCAAAACAGACCACACACAATTTTTCTGCTACACTACCACACTGAAGAAATCCACCACTCTTCCACCAAGTTTTTTAGATCATATTCATATGTTCCTGAGACATGTACTGGGTCTCTGCTGGCCAGCAAATCAAATGTAAGCTCCTTATATCCTACCCAGCACTCTCCACAACTAGCATTTTCTTCACATTCCCCTCTCTGTTCCTTCACTGTTTAGGAAAAGATGTCTGTCACACTACTCCTTTCATGTCCTTTTAGCACTGTTGCACCTTACTTTCTTCATACTTGCTGGCAGCCCTCCATGCCCAATGCCTTTCCCAGCCACATTTGCAAAGCCTTTCTCCAACCTTACTAAAAAAAAACCACAATTTTTCAATGCTTTTTAGCAAATGCAAACATCCCCAAGCCCAGCACCTCTCAACACTGCTTCTAACCGTAATCCTCTCGAGAGACTGACACTCAGTGTCTCACATTATCCAGATGTAAAACAGATTGGTGGGCACTCTGTTCTGCACCAGGTTAATTGAACTGACTGAAACAAGCACCTAAATCATAATAAAGGGGAAAAGAGTTAAGTGCATTCAGCAATCCATTTCATCCTCTTCCAAGGGGAAGGTCTAACCAACAGATCACCTGGCAGAAACAGCCAGCTCCGTACCCATGCACTAGCTTTGAGGGATCGTGGGGAAAGCAGGGCTGGATCATCTAGGCCAGCCCCCTGCTCAGGGCAGGATCATCCCTGACTAAACCATCCTAGTAGTTAGTGGGACAGTGGTAACTTGCTCTTGAAGGGGAGCTGTCTATCACAGCTGGACAAGGTAGGTCCACACTATTCAGACCAGACACTAAGGCCATCAGCTCTTAAAGCCACTTTCACACAATGTCTCAGGCTGCATACAAGGCTCCTGCTACATGTTACATATTTTATGCAATTAACTGATTAACTGTGCAATAAATTTAAACTGACCACACATGCAAAGTAACTGTCACACCACAAAAAGGACTATCCAGCTATAAAAAAAACCAACCAGCTAGAAAGTTAGTGCTTGAAAATGTGTGGCAACTCTATAGCTGGTTTCTATCCAGCTTTAATTTGAATGCGTGGCAGAGCCCTCAGGGAACAAGTCAATAGGACAGTCTTGCTGCTGTTACAGGCATGAGTGGGAATAGGAGTGCTGGTCTGGGATGGGTATTTCCTACAACAAAGACCAGATTTGGGTCTAGGCTGTCAGAGCCATGAAGCTGTTCCCCCACACCTGCCCCTGCCGAACAGAAGGGCTTCACACAGGGAAAGATGAGCACACGTCACACCTGCAGCACCACAGGGGCTATGGAGGGAACCAGGTGTGCATGTGGGGAGCAGGGTACAGTGGGGTAGGTGTGTGGGGGCATGTGTAGGGGGTAGGTGCAAGCAGGTGTGTGCGCGCATTAGGAGTGTATGTAGCGGGGTAGGTGTAGGAGCCTGTGTGTGAGTGTGTAGGAGTGGGGGGGCATATAGGGGGTGGTGTGTGCATGTGTATCTAGGGGTGGGGCTGAGTATAGGTGAAAGGTAGGCGAGTATGTGCGCGCATACCCCCCGCCCATGCACTAACCCGGCTTCCCCCGTGCCTTGGTCCCTGCAGCATGGCCGAGGCCGGCTGGGGACCCGGCGGGCAGCAGGACCCAGCGCGGCCCGTAGCCGGAGGGAACGACCCCGCCCCTCCACCCCGCGGCACAAACGAGTCCCACCAGCTACTACCGCGCCGCGGCCTGCGAAGGTCACGTGGCCCCAAGATGGCGGCGGGAGAGTAGGATGAAGGAAGTGGAACTGCCATCTCAAGTGCGGGCAAAAACGCCCTTCCGCCAGCCCCGCCGAGCGGGCCCCAGGCGCAGCCGGCGGCTACAGCACGCACGGCCGGGCGCGGCGGGCTCACCGGAGGCGGACAGCACATACCGTACGGGGAGGCGCGGGGAACTACTCACTGCTCCCGGGCAACCACAGGGCTCTGCGCGCGCCGCGGCAGCTTTACGTCACCCGCCGCGCGCTCGGGCTCTCGCGAGACTTCCAGGCCAGGCCTGCAGCGCCCCCTGACGTCGTCTCGCCCAGCCCCGGGAGCGCCTCCTCGGCCGGGTCACGTGGGGGTGGCCGAGCGCGGGTGATTGCGCTCAGGACAAGGGCTGGGAGGGCGCTCGCCCGCGCCGTCTCCCCCGAGCTCTGCACCGGACCGCCCCCGGCCTCGCCCGCCCCCACCTGCCACGGGTACGGCG